TTGGATCGATGATGAGTCCTCCAATAACATTCCTTGGAAAAGCTGAACAAAATGAGTGAAAACCCACTACCGTCTCGCTCATCGTGACTGAGGTCCGGCACGTTGGCATAGACAGAGACAGAGGTGGCAGGGGCCAGGGAGAGCTGCCGGGGCTTCCAATACTTGTCCTCCTCATGGGCGAATTCCTAGGCCAGGCCGATGCCCACAGCTGATCTGTGGCTCCGTCCATGTGCGTGTGGCCGCTGGGCATTTTGGCTGAGCCGAATCAGGTGCTCGAAGGGGCCATGCCTACTCGGGCAACAGAGATGTGAGGTGTCCAAGCGCCCTGTTTTAAAAGGTTGGGATGACTTGGAGGCACGAGGTTCCCTGTAGGCACGAGGCATAGCCGTGGCCCTTCGTTTGCTGATGGGACCACTGGGTGAGTGTGTAGCATACGTTATCTCAGGGACAGCGGGGTGGAGTGGAGGACAGGAACAAGGCGGAAGTGGAATGTCGCAGTGGGCAGACCCTTGGTGATGCCTGTCAGGTGCGGAATGCGAGGCCTGTAGCGAACTATCCTCCCAAGATGGCGCGCGCAAGTTCTCCGGGTGTGTGGCCGTACCCCCAGATGTGCGGTTCTCGATTAGCTCTCTGTATATTGGGGATGCAGGAGAGTATATCCTGAGCATTGAGGATTTTCCTCAGGCTACAGGAAGCTGGCATCAGAGAGAAGGGTCCTGGCACCGGGCCTTTGTTCTCATGGTTGCTTGTCGTTTGTGTTCACTCTTCAGGAGGAGGCGGCGAGCGAGAAGGCTTCCTGTTGGCTGATTGGAGCGTGCCCACCTCTGCTGAGGCCCTTGGGTCCTTTTTTCTGTTTGGCATCCCTGTGTTCGTGACTGGGACAAAGGCCGGTGCGTGGTGAAGATGGTAAGCTTGGTTTGTCCACCTCCACCACGTCAAGCGAGTTGTTGGAGGATATGCAGGATTGGCGTGGAAATACCGCCCCCCAAATGTGCTCGGTCGGGCCCAGGCCCGGCCAGGGGCGTGGACGCGGTTGGTGCGTCCGGCGTGCTTGGATCGATGATGAGTCCTCCAATAACATTCCTTGGAAAAGCTGAACAAAATGAGTGAAAACCCACTACCGTCTCGCTCATCGTGACTGAGGTCCAGCACGTTGGCAGAGGCAGAGGCAGAGTTGGCAGGGGCCAGGGAGAGCTGCCGGGGCTTCCAATACTTGTCTTCCCCATGAACGAATTCCTAGGCCCAGCCGATGTCGAATGGTGGGCTATGGCCCCGTCCATGTGCGTGTGGCCGCTGGGTATGATTGTCTGAGCCGAATCAGAATCTCAGCAGAGCCAGGCCTGCTGGGGGAACAACAGGTGTGAGGTGTCCAAGCGCCCTGTTTTAAAAGGTTAGGATGACTTGGAGGTATGAGGTGGCCTGGAGAGGGCTATCCCTGGCCCTCCCCTTCTTATAGGACCAGTGGTTGAGGGTGCAGTAGACATTCTTGCAGCGGTCATCGGGGTGGAGTGTGGAGGTTGTAGGGGAGGACAGGTACAAGGCGGATGTGGAAAATTGCAGCAGGCATACCCCGGGTGAAGCCTAGAAGGTGCGGAAAGGGAGGTCTATAGCAAACTATCCTCCCAAGATGGCGCACCCAAGTTCCCCGTGTGTGTGGATCTAGCCCCCAGGTGCGGGATTGTGGATCAGTTCTGTGTGGATTGGGGAAGCAAGACAGTGTGTGGTGAGCATTGGGGAGTATACTGAGCCGACAGGAAGCTGGCATCGGAGAGGAGAGCCTTGGCACCGGGCCATTGTTCTCATGGTTGCTTTTCATTTGTGTACACTCTTCAGGACAAGGTGGCGGGCGAGGGAGGCGTGCCGGGTGGCTGAGTGGAGCGTGTCCGCCTGTGCTGAGGCCGTGGGGTCCTGTTTTGTGTTTGGCATCGCTGTGTTCGCGAGTGGGAAACAGGCCGGAGCGTGGCGAAGACGGTAAGCTTGGCTGGTCCACCTCCCCCGTGCCAAGCCAGTTGTTGTAGGCTATGAGGGTTGGTGTGGAAATACCATCCCAATGACTGTGTTCGGTCGGGCCGCGGCCCGGCCAGGGACATGGACGCGGTTGGTGCGTCCGGCGTGCTTGGATCGATGATGAGTCCTCCAATAACATTCCTTGGAAAAGCTGAACAAAATGAGTGAAAACCCACTACCGTCTCGCTCATCGTGACTGAGGTCCGGCACGTTGGCATAGACAGAGACAGAGGTGGCAGGGGCCAGGGAGAGCTGCCGGGGCTTCCAATACTTGTCCTCCTCATGGGCGAATTCCTAGGCCAGGCCGATGCCCACAGCTGATCTGTGGCTCCGTCCATGTGCGTGTGGCCGCTGGGCATTTTGGCTGAGCCGAATCAGGTGCTCGAAGGGGCCATGCCTACTCGGGCAACAGAGATGTGAGGTGTCCAAGCGCCCTGTTTTAAAAGGTTGGGATGACTTGGAGGCACGAGGTTCCCTGTAGGCACGAGGCATAGCCGTGGCCCTTCGTTTGCTGATGGGACCACTGGGTGAGTGTGTAGCATACGTTATGTCAGGGACAGCGGGGTGGAGTGGAGGACAGGAACAAGGCGGAAGTGGAATGTCGCAGTGGGCAGACCCTTGGTGATGCCTGTCAGGTGCGGAATGCGAGGCCTGTAGCGAACTATCCTCCCAAGATGGCGCGCGCAAGTTCTCCGGGTGTGTGGCCGTACCCCCAGATGTGCGGTTCTCGATTAGCTCTCTGTATATTGGGGATGCAGGAGAGTATATCCTGAGCATTGAGGATTTTCCTCAGGCTACAGGAAGCTGGCATCAGAGAGAAGGGTCCTGGCACCGGGCCTTTGTTCTCATGGTTGCTTGTCGTTTGTGTTCACTCTTCAGGAGGAGGCGGCGAGCGAGAAGGCTTCCTGTTGGCTGATTGGAGCGTGCCCACCTCTGCTGAGGCCCTTGGGTCCTTTTTTCTGTTTGGCATCCCTGTGTTCGTGACTGGGACAAAGGCCGGTGCGTGGTGAAGATGGTAAGCTTGGTTTGTCCACCTCCACCACGTCAAGCCAGTTGTTGGAGGATATGCAGGATTGGCGTGGAAATACCGCCCCCCAAATGTGCTCGGTCGGGCCCAGGCCCGGCCAGGGGCGTGGACGCGGTTGGTGCGTCCGGCGTGCTTGGATCGATGATGAGTCCTCCAATAACATTCCTTGGAAAAGCTGAACAAAATGAGTGAAAACCCACTACCGTCTCGCTCATCGTGACTGAGGTCCAGCACGTTGGCAGAGGCAGAGGCAGAGTTGGCAGGGGCCAGGGAGAGCTGCCGGGGCTTCCAATACTTGTCTTCCCCATGAACGAATTCCTAGGCCCAGCCGATGTCGAATGGTGGGCTATGGCCCCGTCCATGTGCGTGTGGCCGCTGGGTATGATTGTCTGAGCCGAATCAGAATCTCAGCAGAGCCAGGCCTGCTGGGGGAACAACAGGTGTGAGGTGTCCAAGCGCCCTGTTTTAAAAGGTTAGGATGACTTGGAGGTATGAGGTGGCCTGGAGAGGGCTAGCCCTGGCCCTCCCCTTCTTATAGGACCAGTGGTTGAGGGTGCAGTAGACATTCTTGCAGCGGTCATCGGGGTGGAGTGTGGAGGTTGTAGGGGAGGACAGGTACAAGGCGGATGTGGAAAATTGCAGCAGGCATACCCCGGGTGAAGCCTAGAAGGTGCAGAAAGGGAGGTCTATAGCAAACTATCCTCCCAAGATGGCGCACCCAAGTTCCCCGGGTGTGTTTGGATCTAGCCCCCAGGTGCGGGATTGTGGATCAGTTCTGTGTGGATTGGGGAAGCAAGACAGTGTGTGGTGAGCATTGGGGAGTATACTGAGCCGACAGGAAGCTGGCATCGGATAGGAGAGCCTTGGCACCGGGCCATTGTTCTCATGGTTGCTTTTCATTTGTGTACACTCTTCAGGACAAGGTGGCCGGCGAGGGAGGCGTGCCGGGTGGCTGAGTGGAGCGTGTCCGCCTGTGCTGAGGCCGTGGGGTCCTGTTTTGTGTTTGGCATCGCTGTGTTCGTGAGTGGGAAACAGGCCGGAGCGTGGCGAAGACGGTAAGCTTGGCTGGTCCACCTCCCCCGTGCCAAGCCAGTTGTTGTAGGCTATGAGGGTTGGTGTGGAAATACCATCCCAATGACTGTGTTCGGTCGGGCCGCGGCCCGGCCAGGGACATGGATGCGGTTGGTGCATCCGGCGTGCTTGGATCGATGATGAGTCCTCCAATAACATTCCTTGGAAAAGCTGAACAAAATGAGTGAAAACCCACTACCGTCTCGCTCATCGTGACTGAGGTCCGGCACGTTGGCATAGACAGAGACAGAGGTGGCAGGGGCCAGGGAGAGCTGCCGGGGCTTCCAATACTTGTCCTCCTCATGGGCGAATTCCTAGGCCAGGCCGATGCCCACAGCTGATCTGTGGCTCCGTCCATGTGCGTGTGGCCGCTGGGCATTTTGGCTGAGCCGAATCAGGTGCTCGAAGGGGCCATGCCTACTCGGGCAACAGAGATGTGAGGTGTCCAAGCGCCCTGTTTTAAAAGGTTGGGATGACTTGGAGGCACGAGGTTCCCTGTAGGCACGAGGCATAGCCGTGGCCCTTCGTTTGCTGATGGGACCACTGGGTGAGTGTGTAGCATACGTTATCTCAGGGACAGCGGGGTGGAGTGGAGGACAGGAACAAGGCGGAAGTGGAATGTCGCAGTGGGCAGACCCTTGGTGATGCCTGTCAGGTGCGGAATGCGAGGCCTGTAGCGAACTATCCTCCCAAGATGGCGCGCAAGTTCTCCGGGTGTGTGGCCGTACCCCCAGATGTGCGGTTCTCGATTAGCTCTCTGTATATTGGGGATGCAGGAGAGTATA